ACCATTTAGGACACGGCAGCATAATGGCGGCTTGTTTTGAACCACTCCCACTTGAATCGCCTCTTTGCGAGAGTTCATTTGCATTAAACGCTCTCAGAGTAAACGTTTACATCACTTCCTGATTAAAACGTAATGTTATATATTATTTCGTTCTCAAGATATCGATGAGCTCGTGTGCTGAGTGTGCTTTCATTCCACTTCCTCGAGCCGTAACCAGCTCTCAGAGAGCAGGCCACGGGGCACTTCAACATCAAACGAGGCATGAACACGAGACACCAGCATATGAGCGAGAACGCCGGCAGTGCGGCCCAGGCCTCCATCTGCGCTCAGACAGCTGGCATCAGCAAACTAACCACAAAGTGCCTGGATTACACACAACATCTCTTAAAGCCTCCCAACACACTGCACACTTTGTACTCATCAAACCATCCACATCAGTAACTCATTCTAAACGCCTTGTATAAAGAGAAGCGAGGCGGTTTTGACGGCGATGAGTTGGAACCTGTGAAGGAATGAAGCCAGACACGGAGGTGTACAGCATTAGCGTCTTTTATTTCGGTTTCTTTTTTTCTCTCATTTCTCGTTGCATAGGAAATGCACATCTTGCTTTTAGTAATTGAGTCAATGGAGGTGGACACTAATGGCTCCAAGAGAAAGGGGCAATGTCACTACACACAGAAAAAACAAGGAAAAAAGTTCAGAGTAAGAACCGAAAAGCAAACAAAGTCATTCACAGCTCAAATACAGAAGCTCCGTGGAACTAGTTATGGAGCTGGTACCAATACAACATGAAGTTTTCTTCAGGAAATGTATTATAGGCACAAGGTTTTATTTATTTTTTTGTATTTTTTTTTAGATTGTATCTAAAACGTAAGTATGTATACGGTGATTCTGCGATGTGAGATGGAGCGGTATGAGATACCAACACTCTCGTGGCAATTCGTAACTATTTTACGCTTCGGCGAATTGGTACGGTTGTACATTTTCGCACAACCTGCCTACTTCCTCAGCTGAATCGTCTTGCGTACTTTTTCATAAAATCGCCGCTTTGTAAAATAGTTAAGTTTTCTCACAAGATGGGGTTGGATATACGAAGGATGATGATGGACATAAAGATTTGGAGTGGTGGAGCTGGTTGAAGGGGTCTTGTAACATCACGCCAGAGATTCATGTGTAATCTTACACGCTAACCACCGCGATTGTCTTCTTTACGATTAGGGCCGCAGTGTTGGTTAATTTTCAACAGAAGGGGTCTAGCAGAACTTTGTTGAACGTCCTCAGACTATACGCACAATCACATCTGTTTCCAAAAAATGTGGTACAGCACGTCCTTAAGATATTTATTAATACGTTTAAACAAAGAGGAAACACTTTAATCGTAACCATTTGCTGTATGTTTCGGTTTATGGATATTATTGATTGCTAGAAGACCTCTTTTCCTTGGGGTTGGATTTAATGGTCCTGGTTTGCAAACTATTATTTTTGAGTCCTTCGAATCCATACTCGATATTTGAATCCTACCCTTTAGTTGGCTCGAAGTCAAACATCTCTTTCGAGGACCTCCTAAAACTCACTTGGTTCCGTTAACGGTTCTCACGCGTACATTCTTCTGCCGACAAAGAACGAATATCGTACTTCGGTGACACTGCAACACCACTACTAAATTCTGAGTGTAAGTCGATTATTTTTAGTGAATCCACACTAGTGGAATTTGACTCCCGAACAAATGATTTTTCAAACCAGGGCTTGAATCAAAAATATTTAGCACGACCAGTGAAGTCCAATTTCCAAAAGATACTTTTTTGAATCAGTTCTTTTTAGTAAAGCCCAAAAAGTGTACTCTGATTATCGAACGAACGACTCTTTGAGTCACGTCTTTTAATGAATCAAAAATACACAGCTCAACATCAGTGTAGTCCGATTCCTAAAAGAATGACTCCATTGAGTCAGATCTCTTCAGTGAACCAAAACAGCGCAAATAGTGTACAATGACTATGGTGTACTGTAGTTGCTGACTGGTTGTTTCAATGACAATTTGTGGCTAAAAACAAACATTATGCATTTATCAGTAATATTTTATAAAATATAAAGCCCAATTATTAGATTGCATTTATTTATTAAATAAATAATCATATCATTTGGCAATGGAATTGCATTTCTTTTCTTTTTCCAAATATTTATTCCCTAAAACCACTAATAGAATCGTTAAAGGAACCATTAAGGAATCAGATTCGTTCTTCACGATTCTCATGCCCATCAAAGAGCCTTTCGTATTTAACTTCAGAACTCCAGAGATGTTGTGAATTGCACCTACAGCAAGAAGATGCCAGTTCCACTGAGTATCGATTGTCTAGTGTGAGAACATGAGGAAACACAGACCTTCATGATTGTTGTTGGAGATAATGGAGATACTGAGGGCTACAGCAGAACATGGACCAGAATTTAGGTGGACGCTATGTTTTTGTAGATGTTTATCACTTACTTGACTTCACTATGCAATTATACTACGGTGAAACTGGTTGGGAACAAGTAAATGGAATGAATTGGAGAAGCATCTTGGAGGATTTTGACTGATAGCAGAGCTGGGTTAGATCATCTAGTCACGTTTATAACAGTTGGTTATGGAGGCGCATGCAGTTTATAGAGTGTGGTTACTGAACAGCTATAATCAGAAAAGGCTAGTGGTGTTGAGAAAACAGAAACGATTACAAACTGTTAACTGGTTTGATATTCAGAGAGCTATATAATACAGTTTTTCACAGGCACTACATTTGATCTTCTTAAATACATCAGGTAAAATGCTGGTTTGCTTTTAGTTCCATTATTCCTTTGATTGCGATACAAGTTCTTAAAAAACGAGGAAGGCAAAAGTGCAAGTACCAGACTCTGATTAGATTAGCGTGTCGTCAGTGCATAGTTCTCATGCGGATTACGCTGCTATGCTATCAGAAAGCAGGGTCGTTTCCAGTTAGCCTCCACTTTATCAGCAAGATTTAGCACCTTGTAATGATACCGTTTGGTGCAGTTAAGCCACCCGCCACTGGTGCATGATGGGGTTAAATTCATGGTATAGTGAACCTGACAACACGTTTATCCATATGATGGGCCCCTGAATGTCAACCCAGGCTCTTTAAGCTCCTCATCAGGCCCAGTTCTGCAAATCGACTCCCGAAAGTGAAACATGGGTGTTTAGCGTAACAAAAAAATGTGTACCTGTAGTCAAATCTGTAGTTCTTTATTTCCATGAATGGCCGCATACTTGATTCAATTATTGTGTTTTTGTTTTTTTTAGACTTTAAAATGTCTCACGATTGAATAGTACCCTGATATAAGCCGTATTTCTGCCTTAAACCATCCAATGCTTTGTTCCCGCCTCAAATGAATATAAGCGATACAACAAGAAGACCCACAAAAATGCGGACATAAAAATGATAAAGGCCTGCGGGGCCTTTATTCAACCCTGTTTTAGGACTAGCATGAAATTGATGCTATCATTAATGAAAGTATTAAAGGGATAGTTCACCCAAAAATGTATGAACAGTTGACGGTAGCCATTGACTTCCATAGTGTTTTTTTCTATACTATGGAAGTCAATGGGTACGTCAACATTTTTAAAAATATCTTCTTTGGTGTTCAACAGAAGAACGAAACTCATACACGTTTGGAACAACATGAGGGTAAATGATGACAATTTCCATTTCTGGGAGAACTATCCCTTTAAAATATCACTAAAAGTGTAGAATGTTCAGATTTTGATAAAATGCCACAAATTATTTGTAATACTTTATGTAATCTGTGTGAACAAAAAAAGACCAAACTGAAAAATGACAAAATGGGATGGGAAAGCTGACGACATGCAGGACTCAAAATGCCCTTATTTTTGAACATCGTCCCTTTATCCTCAAGAAAAGTCAAAGTTCTTCCTTTTTTTGCGTAATTGTATGTCTTTTCAGTGTTTTAAACCACCATCAAGCGATCTTCGTGCGAGTTATGTGACCCGAGGGCCTCGCTTTCACATGAAATGTAGAATCGAGTGAGGAATGGCTTTATCGACGGCCCATCGTGACCGACCTTCTCGTCATTTAACGTTGCTCGAGTGTCTCTGTGTGTGCTGGTGGGCGGTGGAAGAAAGATGAAGAAGTTGAAAAGAAAAAAGAATCATGTTGCATATCAAGCGGTTTATTTTCCTGCATGGAATGGTGAACACAAAAAGATGCCTAGATGCATTTATAATAGGGGCATCCTTTGGCTGTCTATGTCATTGTCTTCTGCCTAAAACTAATTTTAAAATGCATAAAAACGCTCTCTTCTTACCAACATCCTCAGAATTATCTAGATTTAGCTTCATCAACACTGATGCAACAAATAACCTTCAAAACATACAGCATACTTGTAACATCCATTTACAATGGGGTTTTCACATCGGCATCCTACACTTTTCAAGTATAGGAGTACTTCTATACCATCGAAAGAAGAAATAAGTCCTTAAATACATACAAAAAGGAAAGCAATAAGAAAACAAAAAACAGGAAACAGGAAGTTTTCAACTTAAATCCAGTTCCTCAGAGGACAAACAAAACCAGTTCTATTTATGTGGCCTTAATACAAACAATCAGAAAATTCACAACACTAGTTTTTCCTCATTTAATCAATGTTACAAAAGTCCTGCATTATAAAATAGGGCAGCTTTAAAATCAGTGTAATTAATAAAACTATACAATATACAAACATCAAATCTCCCATACTCAGGTGCGTCCGCCCTAACTCTCGTATCTAATCGATTCGGTTTGTTCGCTTCTCCAGCGTCTTCTCCAACGTTGTACCAAAAAACTAAATTACACACACAACACGAGAACAAAACAGACTGCCCAAACTATTGCTTGAAATTCTTTTTCTCTTTTTTTCTTTCTTTAAAAAGGGTGCAATTTTGTCATTATCTTACACACACAGCCAATCTCGCTGATTAGATGCCAGGCTGCTCGAAACAAGGTTTTTGTGACAAAAAAAAAAAAATATCCGTGCAATCGTGTTTCCCTTCGCTCTTTTAAGCCCTGGAAGCTTTTTTTTGTTTGTATTTTTTTGAATTTTTTTCTCAATTATCACAATTGTCATTATTTTATATTTAGTGCATACGATTAAGAAAGTAATGCCCAACTCATTTCTAAAGGGTAGGCAAGGACAATGACAAAAAAAATCACGCTAAAAAAACCCCACACAAGTGTAACTACTAAATCATCACATCATATGCCTGGGAAATTCGTCCCCATAATTCGTTTTTTGTTTTTTCTTAAATGATGTATGCAATAGAAAATAAACAGGTAAACAATTAATATAACATGGAACTTTGTCAAAATGTACAAAAACTGGGCATATTTTTTGTCCTGGACGTGTTCGCTTTTGTGTGTTTGTGATGGAAAGGACGTTTCCTCGTTTTTAAGGCTTGGTTGATTGACCGAAAAAACAAAGTATGCGAAAACATTGATGATTGTTTGTGTGAAACCCAAGTGAGGCTGATCAATGGCATTTTCTCGTGTCATGGGCATGAAAAACACACTGACGTTCAGCCACTTGACCTGTCAAGTGCTCACTTTGGTGGTAAAAAAAAAATCAAAAATGACTACATGAGTGCAAGCAAGTATTGCATATTAATCTTTTCCTCATTATTCATCTCTGGGAACGAAAAAAAATCCAGGAAGTCCGAAAAAAGAAAAAGTAGTCGTCATTTAGAAATTGCAGCAACATCCATAAATATCAATACACTACTGTTAAATTGGAGAAAAAAGGGCACGATGACACAAAAACCTTCGCGTTACGCATTTTCTCGGGCGAATGATTGACTTTCAACTGATTGAAGTGTAAACGATGGGATTTTCGAAGCAACGGACGACCGAAAGTGGCGATATGTAGTTAAATGGAGAGCAATACTGTGTATTATCAATTAGCACTAATTTGACTCTCTCCAAATGACTACATGTGGAAGGTGGGATGATAAGGTAAAAAAATATTCACATCTCCACATTGCAGCTTGTGCAATAACTCAGAACTAGACCATCGCTCAAGGCACATCGATGTGGAATTGTTCGTGCAGTTGGAAAAGGGACGATGAAGTGCGTACGTATGAAAACGATTGTTCTGACGGGAATAAAGGAGGAAGGGAGACTTTATAGAAATGACGACAACCTAAGAAGAGTCAGAGAGATGTTTAGCTGGTTGATTGTGAGAACAGCAGTAAAAATACCCTTTTTTTAAAGGACCAAACAAATACTTGATCGGCAAGTGCTCGATGTTGGGATTACAATGTTTTTCACACTACTTTAACTCTACGTAATCTATGTAAAAATTTGTCACTAACACTAGAACATGCAGATTATTTTCTTTAAAATTTTTTTTTTAAACTTTACTGAGCTTTGATCGACGGTGGATGAGACTGTAAGTGTATATATTTATATATATATATGTTTCGTACAGGAAACGAACAAAAACTCAAAAAAACAACAAAAATGGCATGCGAGGGAAGCTGGATCTTCACATTTTTGCGCGACGCTTTTGAAAGTGTCAGCGAGGAAGTTAGTTCCGTATTTCGCCTCTTGCGTTCGCATTTAAACAGTCGATTTTTTCATTCATGATTTCGCAAACGGCTAATTTTCTTACGTATTTCATTATGTGCTCGGTTAAATTAAAATATTTGCTGTAGCGTTTTGGAAATGAACTAAATTGATTGTTTAAACGTTGATATTTCTTAAAGGGATATTTGTTCTACAATGCTAACAATCGATGAACAAGCAAACAAACACATAAAAAACAACAACAGAAAAATCAATTACAGCTCCCCTTATTTCTCACAAGGCTATTTGTTCTATTTTCCTCTTTACGTGTTTTTTTTTCTTTTTTGTACCCCGATATTTTAGAGTCCTGGAGGTGTGAACGGACTAGGAAGAAAAATATATATATTTATATATATACTTTTCAACAATCGCTTCAACGATCTATCTTACAAAGATATTTAACAATCCAACATCTACCCAACAAAATTGCACTTTCCTCAATTCAGTATTCACGGTTAACCTTTTCTTGCAGTTTATGGAAGATCGAACCTTCACTTGGCCCTTGGTGTGTGACAGACCTTCCGCTGGGGTTTAGGAAGATTAGAAAGAATCGCGATGATTTTTGTACGAAAAACACAAAATATGAACATGCCTCCAAGTGGGGAGGGAGATCTCCCGTTAGCATACCGTAAAATGACCTGGTATCAAACATCACCGTTCATGACTTCTTCATCGCCTGCCCCAACATGACACAAAACAACTGAAAAAATGGGTTTGGTTGAGTCCTTGAAAGTTCTTGATCTGACATGGTGTGTTGATGGTGGTGGTGATGATGGTGGAAAGGGGAGGAAATGGTCCTGGCCAGCAGACGCAATAGAGATTTTTAGCTGGTGGCATATCTGACCCAGGCGAAACCTCCAACGTTCACCGATACGAAAACCGTATTGATCCGTCAAAACACGAGTGATTGAAAGGCAGAGCTCCGACCTCCGGGTGGTTGTGGGTATGCGACCCTTGGCCACAGACTGCGTTGGAAATGCCTTAGAATTCACTTTAAGACCACAGGCACAGAAGCGGGAAGCTCTTTGATTACGTCATGTTATGTTTTCCTCGTCTATCTGTGAGGGTGAACCAAAAACACAACAAAAACAAACAAAAGAAAAAAAAACGTGCACGTTTCCGAGAAAAGAAAGCTCTTCTTTTTTTTTTTCGAGCTCCACCCTCAGAAGAGCTGGACAGCTACTATATATGAATATAGGCATATAAACCATACATATGGAAGAATACATATGGACTATATAGATATATAGTAAGTGGGTGTAAGCGCGTTGAGTCGGTTCTTCTTGTTCCAGGGCTTGGCGGGGTTCTGCTGGAGCCATGCTATGGGTCTGTCCGGTACTGGGGCAGCAAGTGGCTTCTCTCTGTTCAGACTGGTGTACATGTTTGCGGGTCGTACTCAGGGGAGACAGAGGGGGTGGTCATGTGACCTCGGGAGCGGCCGGTCCGTGTCGGGAGTCTTTAGCCCAGGTACCACTGCAACAACACAGAGAGGAACAGATCGGTGAGGCAAGTTCAACGATTTCAATGAACAATCAGTGTCATCAGCAGTGTGTGAACTATATATATTTTATATATATTTTTGCCATCATTATATACATCATTATATATAAAGACTACTTTCATGATTCAATCAATTCTCAAAGGATAAAATCAGGTCTTGTCGTACATTTCTTTTCTGGCTGAATACACACTTTCGAACTACGCCACAATGCAAAAAACTAAACATAAAAATAAAATAAATATATAAAAGTTGTGACTGCAGTTTCATGTCAACTAAGACCCCCAATCCTTTTGTTATTACCTTCTTTGGAAGGTTTAAGACTGATTATAACCCCCAGAACTGTCATTCATATAGTATCAGTATTATAATGGCAAACAGAAAAGCATACAGCGCTTGTTGTTTTCTTATGGGGTCACTTTTGTATCAGCGTGGTGAGGTTTCAAGACGGTGCTTGACTCTGTGAGGGCTCAGCTCGACAACATTGTTTCTCTTCCTGTTCCTGTCCATCTGTTCCCTCTCTCTGAATGCCTCTGCAGCGCTTTCCGCCACACGGCCGTCTGTGGACTGGAGTGGTGAGGTTAGCGCGCTGCACCCCTGTAATCCTTCAGTGAAATGGGCTTATTGATTGCTGTGCTCCATTGTTCACATTTCCAGCAAGTGAGCAAGTGTTGTTCGGTGCTCGCCCACTTTTTCCCTTCGTTCTTCCCTCCCCTTTCCAGCTTCCCTCCTCCCACCAAGTTCCAAGTTCATCCTGGTGTTACATCATGTCTGGTTGCCAGGGACAACCAGACAGTCGTATACGTGACTATCATTAGCAAGGCCCTTATCCCTCTTTCTTTCTGTCCCTCTCTGATCCCTCTTTCCCTGCTTCCTTTCTTGCTATTCTCTTTCTGGCCGCCATTCTGTCCGAGTGACGTGATGCGATCTGCCCCGTCCGGCCCTCGCTGCAAATACACAAGCTTTTGATTCAATGTGTTCAGTGATTCGCTCGCTCCTCCCACCGCTCGGCTCATCATGCGCACATGATGTCCACCAATCAGTAGCCGTGATTAATTAAGCCCACGGAGTTTTCAGCCAATCAGAATGAAGTGCTGAAGGACTGCCCTCTAATAACAACACAAGACTGCACACCAGAGTTACAGTTTCTTGTTTTCTATCATTATTGCACACTTTATGAAACTAACTTTAAATAACTTTATATAACTAAACTTTGATTCAATTAACATAATTTTGCATTCAATTAAGATATTTCGCATTTTTAATGCATTATACTGTATATACACTTAATATAAGTTCTATTTTTTACATTTCTGTAATATAATTTTATATAAATATATTATCATGATATTCAGAGATAACATACTTAACATACATAACATGAGAACAAGACATGCTAAATATTTACTTATTAATTGTATTTTTATTATTTTTTATAATGTCATATAAAGGTGTAAATATTAGTAAATATTTATCATTTTTATAATGTCATATAAAAGTGTGTAAATAGACATGCTAAATATTTACATATTTTTACTTATTTTAAATAATTGCATACATTTTGAAAAATTTTATAAAGCATAATACAAACAGGCTTTAAAGTGATTTTTTTTATTTTATTATTTTTTATAATGTCATATAAAGGTGTGTGTATATAATATACACATACACACATGCATGTAAATATTGTATTATTTTATATAAATAAATTAATATATATATATATATGGCTTCATAAAGCATTTTTTCTTTGTCAGATTACATAATATATATATATATATATATATATATATATATATATACACCTCATATGTAAATATTTCTTATATTTTACAATATATACATATGACACCTTACACTAAATGTATATGTGAATTGTATTTATTTTAAATAATTATATGCATATTTTAATAAGGTATTATATAAACACTTCGTAAAAAAATAATTTTCTTTTTTTTTTGTTATATAACATGTACAATATGATACCTTGTACTAAAGGTATATGTGAATACTATATAATTATTTAAAATAATTTAGAATATTTTCATAATGCACTACATTCACATAACTTCATATTCAGTGTTACTTTTAGGCCTATGAGGTATTTTTTATTTATTATTATACACTATACCTCCAAATACACTTTATATAAAGTCCGTAAACAAATGATACATTTTAAAATATTCAAAAGACATCATAAAGCTATTGTAATGTCTTATAATACTTAATAAACATTACTGTTACTGCATTTATGTATTCATGTATAAATCCATACACACACACACACACGCACACACACGCACATGCATACATAAATATCACATATTATATCTATATAACTGTGGTTAGTTTTGAATATATATATATATATTTATATAACATAATAATGTGCAATATTAATGAATACATTAATAGTTTATTATATCATCTAGGCTTCATATAATGCTCCAGCAGGTTAATCTGGTAGATGATCTAATGTAGTTAAGAGGAATGAAATGATATGTGAGATTGAGTGGCTTCACTCCGGTTGGAAATGTCCCAGACATCGGCGTGGAAGGCTCTAGCGTACGGCTCGTTTAAATTCTATTGCTCACCGCAAGCGCAGTGGAGAAACTGGAAGGTTAGTTTTTAATCAATAGAAGTTGCTGACTCTGGACTTCTGCGCTCCGGTGCAGTGCAGCTTCCTTGTGTCTTTGTCTATCGGCTCGACCGCTCTCAAACTTTTCCTCCCACCCCTCCCGCTGTCCCTCTCCTGTCCTGAGAAGACTTTTGGAGACTCAGAGAGCAGGAGCGTGTTGGGTTCTCTGCGATACTCCCGTAACTGTGTGGACAGTGGGCTTATGTTACAGCACAGAGGCTGTGCTGACAGCTGTGATTTAGTCTGCAGATACACGGCACGCAGGAGCACAGAGGGGGAACCAGACAGACAGACAATAAAACGTGTGAAATTACAACCTGTCATTCTTACGTTTGCAACACGGCCGGCCTTTCAGAACCAGCACAAACGCAGCTAAATAAAGAGAAAACAATCTTGTATAAATCAATTAAGAACTACATTTTGATATATTCTGTGGAACATCAGAGAGGTGTTTAACTAATATTCATTTTTCACAGATGGACTGATATGATATACAGATTATTTTACTGTTAAAGTAACCAATAGCAAACATGCAAAAAGTAATGAATTAATGCTTAATTTCTGACACAATACACAATGCTAAACAAGTTAATAATCAATATACTACTACAATAAAAATACAAATTCTAAGTATTGTCAATAATAATAAAAGTTTAGTAAATAATTTAGTAAATAATTAACAGTAAAAATAATTGCTAAACACATTAAAATAGCAATTTAACAATAGACTACAACAAACATTCATTGTGGATATTATTATTATTATTATTATTATTGTTGTTGTTGTCATTATTATTAGTAGTAGTATAGTAAAAATTATAAATATTTGACAAAAAAAAACACAATATAAATTTAACAACAATTACAAACATGACCTGTGAATAAAATATTAATATAATATTAATATTAATATTGTTTTAATAATAATAATAATTTTAGTGGTGAAAAAATATAAAAATCTTGAATAATTTATGTAAACATTTAAACATGTAAACGTAATACAATGTTAAAGTCTCAATAGACTACATTAAAATTGTATTATTATTATTAATAAAACAATATTAATGATAATTTACTTGTAAAAACCGTAAACACATTTAAATAAATCAATAAAATGCACTGTGAATAATAATAATAATAAATTATTATTGTTATTATTATTTAGTGGTGAAAAAAACAAAAAAAAAACTTTAACAATAGACTACAATAAAATTTATTTTGATTATTATTTTTATTTTTATGAACAATATTAATAATAATTTGCTAGTAAAAACCATAAACATATTTAAGTAAATCAATAAAATGCACTGTGAATATAATAATAATAATAATGTATTAGTAAAATCTAATTTATGCAAAAACATTAAAATATCAAATTATTTTAACTATGAAAAATACATGCAAACAACATTCAAATAATTAATTTAATTTTCCTGTTGAACATTTAGTGGTGTAATGGGTGCTACTCTTTAGACACCTACAAAAGGCATTTATCAGTTCAAAAGATAAGTAATAATGCATAAAAGTGTAAAAAAAAAAATCTTTAGCGCGAAACTTGCTTATAGAAGAAACTGTGTGGGATAATCTATGATTTATGGCTTTGTTCAAATCCCTAACCCTAAGTATTATCAGTAATAATGATGATTCTTGCCTTAGCAAGCAGCACTAATGAATCTTTTCATTGGCTCTCAGCTCAAAAAAGTCCTCAAAAGTCCTTTGCGGTGAAGTGGAACGCCGTGCCAGAGGAATTAAAGAGGTTTCACACACATCCGGAGCAGTTTTATAGACTCTCAACTAATGGATGATGTTAAGATTTAATTAGGGGTGACAGAACCTAGAACGGTGTAAAAATGTACCAGGAATAAAACGTCAAGTGTAAAAGGATCACTTCCTAACAAGAACAGATGCATTGTGGGATAGTTCATCTGGAAGAGCGAAAAACAACGACAATCCCAGACTGTGGGATTCAACCTCCTCCATCTGTCAGGAGACCGAATCACGCTCCAGGCCCAGGAAGAGAGCGTGATCGGGAGAGAAAAACAAGATTCAGCAGAAAAAACAAACGAAACGGTGGTGCGAGAGAGAGCCAGACGCCCCGCGGGCCGCACACGAGATGATCCACGATCACTGACTACCTTCGTATGACTACGAGACCTCGGCCTGTTCAAACAACCATACAAACATCGTCTCAGAGCGGCATCTTAATGGACTGTTTCTTTTTCCTAAAGGTTCTGTTTGGATGGAGCTTCAAGCCACCCACAGAGTCAACACACTTGACCGTTTGTGTTCGCTTTGGCGAGAAGGATGTGTACGGGATTAAGTCATTTCCATACAACA